AGCAAATCCAATTTTTGGCAGCTAATGCCAGTTACGCGGTTTTGCAGAATGACCATACGGGGTTTTGTACTTTAAACGACGATATGTATGTCAGCACAATTTATGAATCTGCGCCTCAACAGCTACCTGACCAGACTCGACCCCAATATCCCCAATGAGTGCCCGGCATGTGGAGACTCCCCACACGACACCAACCACCTCTTCACATGCCAGCTCAATCCAACTCAACTGACACCCCTCTCCCTTTGATCCGACCATATTGAAACAGCCCGTTAGTGGGCCTACCGTTATTTGAGCTTGCCGACAATGATTGAAGGATGAACCGAAATAGACGGGGCTTAGTGGTGCCGCTACAACAACAACAACAGTTTCACGTACTATTACTTCTACGAGAACTTTTGTTCAACTCAGAATTTATGATAGCCAGAGTCCGAAATGATTGTCTGGCTGACTGATCTCAGGATCATATCGTCGCTGGAATAATGAAGTAGTGTAACATGAAAAGTATAGTTTTGAGAAAAATTAGAAGTTTTTATAATCCAATCGACCAAATCTAAAATATAATTGTGCGCTTCTTATTCAAAATATTCATATTTTAAATACACCACACTTTTAATTGATTCCCTAGCTGTTAATTCACAAAAATATTCTGTACCATGTTTACTTAGAAATGCCATTTGAGCCCATTTTTCTGAAAGCATCTGCTTATTTTATTTCTGAACATTTTTATATGAAATTATTGTACACTATTTTATTATTCACATTTTGAAGTTGCGTGTGAAACTTAGCAGCAATATAATGAAGTAAAATACTCTTACGCTATTTTAATATTACAAGAATTTCTTTGGGATTTGCTTAATAATAGTCTAAGTGCACCATACACTATTTTTAAACTATTGTAGTACCTACACTTTATTAAAAAATTTCGTTTTTTGCGAAGAAGTTCGTAATCCAAAAAGATATTTAAGAAAACTAAAGATTTTTCTAATAGATTAAAGGATTGTCTATCCAATGGTACGATTATCGAATAATAGTATATATGGCATTTACACTTTTCCTTTATTCCAGCGACGATATTTATGACGAAAGTAATACTCATTTTATACTCATAGATTCTGAGCACTCAGAAAAATTTTTTAAGGGAATGAGCTCAAACAAATTTATCGAAAACAGCTTTAATATTCGTTTCGAATTTTGTTGCCTTCTGTACTATGTATTATAATTTGTGACGATTTTTGTATTTGTGCTCAATGCGGAAGCTCCAAATAACCTCCAATCGGACTCAAATTGTATATTTCATAATTTTGAACGTTCTTAGATGGTGCCCCAACTAAAAAAAAAATTTGGCTTAATACAAATTACGTTCACCTTAATATATACATGTATACGTTTATTTCGAAAAGGGATCGGATACGATTTTCGGACTTGAAAATTTGGACAATTTCCAACAAATCTACATTAGCAGAATGTAAGTACATTTTCAGAAAAACTATTCGTGCTTGAAGGCAACTGTGAATTCATACTTTCTAAAATCCAATTTATAATATTTTAAATAAAAGCCGAAACAATATATGTATTTTAAGTTTTATTTTTTATTACTCTGT